CCTGCCAGCCCAGCCCTGCCCCCCCCCACGCTCTGCCAGTGCCCCTCACTCCCGACCCGCAGCCCCTGCCAGCCCAGCCCTGCCCCCCCCCACGCTCTGCCAGTGCCCCTCACTCCCGAACCGCAACCCCCTTACCGGGTGTCGTGGAAGCAGTGGGCTGCGCTCAGCACCCACCAGGAGTGTATGACGCTCCCCCCACAGAAGTGGTGCCCTTGGGTCTGGAGACTCACAACCCAGGGCCATTCCCCAGGGCGGCTTTTCTGCCCCCCGATGATGCGGGGTGCGGGGGAGAGGCTGGGGCTGTCGTATCCCGGCCGGAAGCCACAGCCTGGGGAGACAGAGCCCCCGTTAGAGACATTTGCCCCCCTCTCCCTGCCAGCCCCCACTCCCCTCCCAGAGCCGGGGAGAGAACCCAGGAGTCCTGGCTACCAGCCCCTTTGCTCTGACCCACCAACCCCCACTCCCCTCCCAGCGCCAGGGAGAGAACCCAGGCGTCCGGGCTCCCAGCCCTTCACATGCCACATCTCCACCCCCCTGTTCCCGTTCACTGGATGACATCACAGCGCCACGTGTGACATCAGAGGCCTCCGTGACATCACACGCCATCAAAGGCTGGGAGGGGGAGGGGTTGCCCTGTGACATCGACTGTAGGGAAGGACCCGTCCCCCTTCCAGGGCAGGGGGGGAGGGTATGATTGGGGCAGGGGCACCTGTCCATCCCCCCCGGCACCCACCTGTCGCCCAGATGCCCGTGGCCCCAAGGAGGAGGAGCTCCAGCAGTCGCCACGCTGCCATTGGCTGCCCCCCAGCAGCGGGAGAGGCGGTGGGTGGGCACAGGGGGAGGAGCTGCCCGCCGTGATGTCACAGTAGCGCCAGCGATGACATCACAGTGATATTTAAAGGGCCATGCGCATACATCCCTGGCCCCGGGGGGCTTCTTCGCCCCGCATGTCCCCCGCCCCAGAGCAAGGGGGCCCAGCTGTGGGGGGCTCAGAGGTGCGGGCCCAGGCAGGGCTGGGGCCCTGCGAGAGACAGCAGGTCCCCAAGAGGGGCCGTCGCATTGCAGGGAGACCCCCCCAGGGCTGTGTGGAGCCGAGAGAGAGCACGTGGGGGGGGGAATATGGGGGTCTGGGACAGGGGGTTTAAGTGTTTTTAAAAAATCTGCCTCTATCGTAATGTTCAGAGTC